AAAGTTAGGACACGTTTTCTTATTGATATATAAACAGTGGAATGTGCGCATAGTGTTACTTTCGGTAAGTATATATTAATAAAAAACCAAGCAGTTTATTTACTTGTATATGTTTTTACACAGCGCGGGTTAAAAAAAAGGCCACCGTAGTTTAACTGCATTGCTAAACTTTGTCATTGTTTGCAATGTAGAATATGCGTGCTACTGGTCAGATTTTCTTTGATTAGAAAATTAGAAATTGTTTATGATTATTTCTTTGGCTTTCTAAAAATCACGATATGATTGTTTAGTAATACGAACTTGTGACACAAATGAAAGTTTAAAGAAATGCAATATGTTGACTTTAAGATCCCGAGATAAAAATGTTCAGTCTCTGAAAGCGAGACTCGAGTCTCCGTCTCTCATCGAGTCTCTCTGGTGTCGCTGAGAGAGACTGTCGAGAGACTGTCAAAAAAACTGTTTAGCGTCTCTGAACGAGAGACTCGAGTCGCTCATAGAAAGATCCTCATTTCGTATCCAGTCTCTGAACGAGAGACTCGAATCNTATTATTACTACGATTAATCATTAAAATTAATAATATTGTGCATGAGCGGATAATAATCATTTTATTAGAGCAGAGAAGTGATTCTAGAAATACAGGGTATGTTTTGCAATTATTTGTGTACTTAACCATTTTCTCAATGTAATAAATGAATTTATTAAGAGGCAAAAGTAAATAAAAAAATAGTAAGTAGCCTACTACAACGTGTACAGACGGTCCGAGGACAAAATAAAATAAATGAAACTAGTAGGGGAGGCGTTATCCGCGGATACAAAAGCAGCGGATCGCATCAGTTCATAATAAAATAAAAACATACGCCGATGCCATGATGGCGCGTTAAGCATGCTTATCATTCGCCACGCGCGTGCGCAGCGACAGCCGATTTATCACTATATTTACGCATTTATTACTACACAATAACATAACATAACATGTGCTTGTAGCGGTTGTCGGTATCGTTTCGTTGATTCTTTTTGTTTAAATTTTTTTTTTATTGTTTTTCGAATTCATCGTTGTGAAACATTTGACGCCCTTTGTTCGCAAATTTGCGTGTGCCCTTTTATAATATACAAATAACGCATCGGTTTTCTATTATTGTGTATGGATATAAATAAGAAACGTACCTGTCAATAAAATAATAAACGTTTATTATTAACATGGTGACATTGTTCGTTTTTAGACACACGCTTCCAGACATCACATATATTTTTTATAAACACTTACAATCGACTTACAACAACACATAATACACACAAAGTAAGGACCTTTTCCGGTCACCGGTAACTGTGGAATATTATTACTAATGAAAATGTTAATTACCAGCAAATTATTTGGCGTTCGGATATGTATAAAACGCTGTGAAACAATAATTACAAATTGATAAACTGTGATACTGGATATCAGACTTGTAAATGAATCGAATTGATAACATGGTAGCCGTTCATATATTACATCACTCGTGAGTGGATCTTGGGGTATCACGGCGAAGTTGGAGGTTGGAGCTACAGGGACTTCGGGATAACATATAATGCGCGCGTCAGTTTTCGTTCTTGTGTTTTCTTTAGAATTGTCATTTTAAAATGACCATTAAGAAATTATTTATAAAAATGTTCTCTCATCTTTTCTTAAATAATATTCAAGTTGTTCTTAAGATACTGTCAAAAATAATATTAGTATTTCAAAGTAATTACTCACTAGCGAAGGAATACAAATGTCTGCGTGACGTGGCAAGAAGGGAGGGGGCAGAAACAGCGTGACGTAATATACGAATATTGATGCAATAAAATAACTTAAAATATTTAAAATATTGCAGTAAATTGATATTTAATGGAAAAAAATATTCGTGTTTAAATATCAATAAGGTGGTAGTACGTGTCGGTTGCTAACTGATTTAACAGCACTACAGATGGCCCATTAAGACCCTTTATGGGTCAATTTATTTATTGTCCAGTATTTTCTAAATTTTATTTCCCTTCTTTATTGTTGTGATGCAGTTACGAGAAGTAAATATGGGATAAATAACACTGTTAAGCCTTCAAATTCCTCTGATCTCTATCAAATATTGATCTCTACCCATGATAAAACACTATGATTGGCTGTTGTTGTGGCAGCAAGTGGTTTTGTGTCCAGGGCTTCATTTGTTTGAATGCAGAGACAAAGGGTGTCATTAGCACCATAAAACAATTAAAGAATTACTGCATATTCGCCCATAACGAATGTCGAATGACCACTAATTACATTTAACAATCAATAATACCAGATGTCAAATAGTCATAATGATAACCATTGTCACAGAGTCGCATTGAAATCAAAACTATCGACAGAATTGTATTTTGTATATAAGTCGCGAAAACAACAAGCCAACCAAATTGCACTACATTAACATTTTGCATTAGTAATGAACAAATAAATGTTTTCCTGTTCGACAAAATAATAAATTAGTTTCATAATCAACTTGAAATGTATGCACGTTGCACAATAATATTCAATTTATAAGCACAAGCTTGATTGCACACAATATACATGATATTTAATTATTATTATTATTATTATAACAGCAACAACTTTTTTCCCTCGATAATTATAAGCGACTGTAAATAAAAAACGTGATTGTTTTATTTTTGTATTTTTACTTTTATTTATTTTCATGCAGTACTGTTTTGTCAATTATAAACTTATTAATTTTTAATTATTCCGATAACTTGAGCAAGTGCATGAAGTGAAATACAATTCTTGATATCTAGGACTAATAGTAAAAGTATTTCATCAGTTGTGCTCGAAATAATTTTACTGTTTCTATGACTGACAGTTTCTCGAATTAACTGAAACGAAGACGGAAGATCTGATGGGAAAATAAGTAGTTTTGTTACATCAGTAATAATTTGCTGAATAAGCGTGTTTAATAGTAATTTATGCAATTTAAATGCGGCAACCGAAAACATTTAAATTATAGCAAGGAATCTATATAAAATCGATTGATCGTACCATAACGCAATGCGTTTCAATTGAATTCCGTATAAAAATGCTAAACCAATTGGGTAAATTAAATAGGCCAACTAAATTTATAACAACTTAGTAATTACATAAAACTAAAGGCATTCTTTTAATTTTACAATTACACGGTGATCTCTAATTTATCGATATTAAATAATGCCGTTGTTGTGGACGTAACGGATTTATAAAAGATGATCGAGTAATAGTGCGAAGGACAATATTTTGAAGAAGCTTTTATTAGTATAATCAAATCCGATCGTAACGTGCGGCTCGTGCGATTTATCGACGATAAGTTTTCTAGTTTTCTTTTATTGCAAATAATAATACTCTACAAATAAAGTCCATACGATAAATATGATAAACACATATAATTTCGACATGATATATAATTTGACATGAGAAAAGAGACAAACTTATGATTTTCAGCGATTCTAAAAGGTTTCGATTAGGTACTAGATGTTTGTATTGTGGCTTTGGCATATACTCAAACAAAAACATTGATTCTGAATTTAATTAATTATTTCGAGAATAAAAAGGACGGAAGATTAAGAGGGACCAGTCTAATTCTTCCGAAAAAGCTAGGTGTTTTGGAAGCTAAATTTGAACTGTGATCACAATTTATAAAAAAGTTATTTTTTGGTTGTGCAAAGGCCTAACGGAAGATTTATGTGTGGGCAACCACAGATAGCCAGTCAGCGTGTTCAGTTTTTAAATATATAGAAAATTGCGTATTTAAATTTAGGAAAGTAGTATTTTTAGATGAAACGTGAATATTTTCAAATGGAAGTGGCTCGAACTCTTCGCAAGATGAGCCTGTAAAAAGGGTAAATAAGCGCCGAAAGGAATTTATCAGCGACGATAAGGGTTTTTAAACATTTATTTTATAAACTATAAATAGCTAGTTCATTTCGTTTACGGTTTTCTATGTTTTTAGGCACTATATTTTGCTTTTTTTTCGTCTACTATTTTGGGTATAGTCGTTAAACTCATTCCCAATATTTTGCTACTGTTTTTCCGATATTGGTTGGGAAATTTCCACATTCCCTTCTATTCTTGGTCAAATAAATTACTTAAATACCGAAATAATAGTTATAATTTAGTTTTCTGCAAGTTTCTAATACATGCAGGTATGTATAACATATTGTTAAATCAGTCACTTCCTTTGTGTTGTCATTTCCTACCGTAACCTTATGAACCTATCATCAATCTAACAAAAGCCTTCGTCGGTTAAGACACTTATTGGGCATGTTCTTTATCCATTGAGAAGCCTTTTGACTCGTCGAAAGTAAAATCTGATCACAACAGAGTCATTTGCAACTGAAAAATATTCATTAGTAAAAAGGGATTTTAAAACTCTCCCCAGATTTTTGTTTTTTTCAAAAATAATCTATTTTAAACCATTTCCGAAATACAAAAGGTAACTTTTCGAAAAAGATCGTGATGCGAAAGTTTAATTTTTCTAAATACAGCTAGTTTTTGTAATCACAAAACATTTTGGGGTTCCTGTATTTCTTTTATATACGATAGATTTGAAAAGTGAAGGGGTTATATAAATGTGTGTATTAAGTAATGTCCCATGTCCCATTACCTTTAGAGTATTAAATATTAGAGTAAAACCATTTGTATTATGGTTATTGTTAAATGCTTGCTACAATAAATTTGAATCTGCGTGGCAGCATTTATTTTAATATTATTTAAGTAATATTGTTGGTTTACAATTTACCTATGTGATTTGGTTGCGTATAGTGTGGGTGGCCACCGACATCAAGTGTAATACTCTTATATCTTCTTGTGTGACGTAATTGAACCTAATCTATATTCAAATCTGATGTTATCGTGCTGGTCCAAATCAAGAAACGTAAACTACGAATGTTGCGTGGTTACAAAAAATGTTGTTGTTATTCGGTAAGAAATTTACTTAATAGTGTTTGTAATAAAAACGATTCGTTGTTTTGTTTACTTTATTAACACTTAGTTAATGTAAAATTTGTATCATTTACAAAATTAAGATAAGACTTTATACATTTCGTACAATAAAAGTTGTACACTTGTCAGACTTAGAACGATGTCAGCTTATTAAGCTAACATCTCCAAAATCAATGATTGGCTGTTTTCGCTTTGGCATGCGCTGCAAAGTGGAAAGCTTTCGCTTGCTGTACTTCCGGGGTTTCGGTTGGTACTCCTCCTGCTCCAATTACTGGGTAGTGATAACTACCACTATAACCAATATTATTAGAATAAGCAGAAGGCGCAGTTTCGGCAAACGCACCGCCGAAGTCGTGGTGTATCGGTACGGAAGGAGGAGCGGGATACAAAGCTGCCTGACCGTTAAAAAGCGGATGGGCAGCTAACGCTTGTTGGAAATCATAAGCTGGCTGACTAGCGAAAACCTGCTGATGCTGAGTTGGAAAAGCTACCTGACCTGTGTATGGTATAAATCCATCGTATGGCTTGTTGTTGTTATTACGCGCATTTCTTGCCGATTCCCTTTGAAACTGTTCAAAATGACGGGCTTTGGCTTCCTGAACTTCTGGAGTTTCGAGAGGTCGCCCATCATGTCCGATGATAGGATAAAGTTGAGAAGTTTGGTAAGCGTGAGGGTATAGCGATGCACTCCTTCGTTTGCGATAGTGAGGATGGCCACCGTAATAAGCTGGTTGAGGATATCCTCCGTAGGTTAAACCGTGGAGGGCGTGTTGTGGTATAGCATTACGTCTCGCTGCTTCCCAATAATCATGGAAATGTTGGTGTTTAGCAGCTTCAACTTCCGGTGTCTCCACTGGAGTGCCGTCATTGGTTACTTGAGCAAAAGGACCTGGCCAAGGGACAAGCGGTTGCAAAGGAGGATGAGATATCGACGTTTCAAGAGGTTCGACGGATTGCAGCGATGGAAGTGGATGAGGTTGATAATTATCGTTGTTATTATTGTTGTTGTTATTGTTATTATTGTTATTATCGACCTCGTTTTTATTGTCATAGTCGGATTTGTCGGGGTTAGCATATGCTGCAGCTCTTGCAGCTGCGTGCGCTGCAAAGTGGCTTGCTCTTGCGGCTCGTACCTCTTGGGGCTCTATGGGTACCCCATTTTCACCGATGATGGGCAGGTGGATCGGGCCATTATACTGATGCGCAAAATTCCCTGATCCAAGGGCTAGTGCGCTAACGAGTAATAGTGCCTGAAACAAATTGGAAAATATCAATAATAGGGATAACTATTTATAACTTATTAAATTAAATAGGTAGTGTTTTAGATTTCAGATTCTATAATCGGCATATTCTTATTCTGCAAAAAAACGGTGAACGGGCGTATAAATCGGTATCCTTACGGAAAGGAATTTTGAACAATAACTCTATCTCAAAGAAATAATTACATTTCAATGTTTGTTATGGTCCAATTGCACACCTTATTTCCGTTCTGTCTAAGCCCACAAGATAAATCAAGAACAGTTTTCACTCGATGCAGCAGTTTTGTTTATAAGTACCTGAACTTCCGCATTAAAATCTTTTTTATTGCGAACTTTTGGAAAATTTTCACTGTAAGTTAATAACAATTGTCATGTAATGGTTGAGTTTTTAAGTTTTTACAATATTCTTGAAATACTATCGTTATGTTTGACGTTAAACAGTAATGATATTTAGACTAATAGGTATTCAATTTCAATACCATTGTTTTTAAAATTTGAATTTCTTCTTAAAATCGGATGGATGTTACTTTTATAAAATCACTTCGGGTTATTATAAAATTCAAATAGAGATTTAATTTGAATTAAAATAACTTACATCGAATAGATTACTGAAGACGCTTTGTAAGAATGAAATTTCCGTTAATGGTTTAATTAAATAAGGTGAAAGGATACAAAGCTAGGGTAATGGACCAAGAAGATAACCATTGGATCATTAAACAATTCAATTGTGACATAATCTGAGATTTTAAAAAATCATGTAAGTGAACCAATTCAAGTGAATCGATTGAGGTTTGAGGTCCCACACCAACAGTGCCGAATTTCTTTCTAATTAGACACGTTTTTAAATACTGGCAAAAAGTAAGAGAACTTTTGCTCGGTAATCGGCTCTGCATCAACAACCGAATGTTCTAAAAAGCGTCACTTCCTCTTGTGCGGCTGCAAGTAATGCATTTGAATTCAGATTTCTCTCGGAAAAGAGACGAAGGAGTGCAGCTTTTTATTCCCTTTGACAAAACAACTTAAATAATTTACAGACCGTTTAATACTTAACGGTATGAATCCGTCACACCGATTACATTGCTTTTAATCTACGATTACTTAACTCTTGCGTCTTGATATTTCTTTGAAGTTGCATTACAAAATTTTCAGCTTTCTTATCATGTAAATTCATTTTTCTGTCGTGAATCAATATTGCGCACGTGCATATTAAAATAACAATACATTTCGTTCGTTGTGGTGTTAAAATATTTGAACGAATTAATAGTGGTTTTCGTTTTAACATTGATTTCCTTTTCTGTAATTGTGGCAAGAATTATATAATGTTATCTAATTAATGATGCGGTTAGGATGACAAGATTTCTTTGCGGTTCTATTCTTTATATTGTTTGAAGAATTGTGTTAATCGATCATGACTCTTCTACTTTAGAATGTCTCTTATATCAACAAAATTAGTTACGGGTGTTTATGGTATTGGTTACGTATTTTGAATTAGGGCCATGTATAATTCTAAAGATTGCAGACATTCTATTGTTTTTTTTTGCGGATAATTTCATAAAATTGTGTTATTAAAACAGAGTAAAAGTAAAGAACAAAAACAGAAAAAGATGTCACGTGTATAGTCACAGTCACGCCCTTTTCGCAACCATATTTCTTTACTTACAACTTTCAATCTTTTGTGTCCTTCTCTAATAATTCGATTAAAGATTATTTATTAAGCAACAGTTTAATGGAGAATACTACAGATTGAACTAAAGAAGAAAACGAATATTGCTAAATAATAAAAGCAATAAATAAATTCATGGTAGGTCAGGTAATAATTTTGTGTAACTGTAACATGAAATTTTAAAAAGCTTCCCAAATGTAAAATGGGTTTTGCTCTGTTTTGGCAAATTCATAAGTCAAAAAAGCAGAAAAAAATAATGTTTCTACCGATATTACATTTAATTACTCAACAATTGTTTTGAGCACAGAAAATGTAACACTTGGAAATGATCGATTAGGTCGAAACAACTGTCAAGTGGTTAAACATATGACCAGTTGAATCATTTTTGTTTTCTGTTTTTCGATATTAAGACGATTCTTCGAGAGTATATCTATAATAGACTATTAAAAAATATTTTTTTCAAACATTTAATGACGTAGTCTTCAATTTTTGAATTGTAAATGTTCATGGAATTTTTGCTTATGCTTATGTAAAATGTCAAATCAAAAATTCTATAGCTAAGTAGCATAAGTATAGGTACTTATTTCAGAAAGTTTTCCATTAGATTTTTGTTTAAACTGAAGATTAGTTGCAAAAGTTTTATTTTTGTTATATTTCGTAGTCACTTCCTCGTAAATAATGCAACGGTTTACTGAACAAACTCAATTGGATCGGCGGAAGGAAAAACGTTCAGAAATTTTTTAGAGTGCACCTGTTTACTGTCAACGTGCTTCGTAACGTCAGTCAAAACAACAGTCTTTATCAAACACCGGTCTGTTTCTGAACACTTCTACACTGTTTTCTTTTCTCATTTAATTAATTATGTCACAAAATGAGACACACAAATCTGCTTCATCAATGACGGAAAGTGAGAGTGTGTGATCACGCACGATTGAACTGGACGTTTTTCATTAGTGTTAAAAAGAAAAAGATTACAACACAATGCTGTGTTATACACCTAATTAGAAATCGAATTGGAAAAAATCGTGTTTATGCGGAAAATGACTAGTAACATCTGAAATTGTCTACGCGATACTATGTTGAGCTTACGTGTTAATAAGCGTATTTCTACTTACCGAAAATTTCATTCTGTTACACTTTTCAACCTCCTAGTGTTCTAGGACTGCTGAACTACTGCAGTTCTTCGGCAGCCCCGCCTGTATTTATATCGGCCCCCCGTTATAGTTTGTTGTATCCTAGGTGCAAGGTCCCTTTCACTGGGCCACATCCACAGGATAGCATTGTACCCCAATACATTTTTCCGTACATCTCTTTCTTTTTAAAGTTTTCTTGTCATTTTTTTGAATTTATTTTGCTTTTACCGAAATTACTTTATTTTTTACATATTATTCATAACACGTGCAAAATATCTCTTCTACTAATTGTGAATTGAAGATAAAGATGGAAAAATTACAGTTTTACTTAACTGCTTACTAAGTTGTTATGGAATTTTAAAATTATTTATTGCCTAAATGCATGTTTCAAATATATTTAGTGTTAGTTGTATAAGTTTACCTAAATTTTACATCGTAAAAGACGTTAGTTTTAAAAATATTTTACTAACCACTCAAATTACTTCACTAGTCGTAAGCTTAACCAGTAGATATGACTAAATGGCATAAATTCAATATTTATTAAAAGTCTGTAATAGGTGCAAACGTGTAAGGATGNATTCATTCAGTCTCTCTGTGAGAGACTCGAATCTCTGAATTAACAATTTTATCGTTCGAGTCTCTCATACAGAGACTGTGAGAGATCCATAAAAACACCTAGGCAATAACTGAGAGACTGTGAAAGACTGTGAAAGACGCTCTCAGGTTGGAAATGAAGAGGTATTAGAAAGAATAGGAGAAGAGAGGACTCTATGGAAGTCAATAAGAAATAGGCGAGATAGGTTGACAGCGCACCTTCTCAGGTATGAAGGTCCAGTCAGAGACATATTAGAGGCAGAAACAAGAGTTAAGAGAAGAAGATGTAGACCTAGGTTAGATTATTGTTCGCAAATAGTTAAGGATGTGGGCTGTTCTAGTTTTAGGGAAAGTGAATATTAGCTCAGGATAGGAAGGAGTGGTGGTACGTGTCCAACCAGTCTTAGGACTGACGACCTTATGATGATGATGATGAACCAAACATGAGGAGTACACATTAATGTTTAGGTAAATGTACATAGGTACAAAGATATTTACCATTATTAGACAGTTTATCATAAATGTTCTACTACATAGAATGGTTATTAGGTGTAGCAAATTGATATTCCTAAGTAGAAAAGGACCTTGCTAAACAATAATATGTCTACAATTAGGGGAGTACAAGGAGTTTTACCCTAATTTATTACGACGACTTTTTTTGAGCGGATATCTACGTATTTGCTAAGCTCATACATGTTAGGCTTGTATTGATAATGTCTACAAAAAAAGAGAGTCAAAAAACGAATTCGCTAAAGAAAATTTATCGTGGTAAGTCGGGGTGTATTTCTCTTCATTTGTACTAAATTAGTGATAAATTTCTACATACAACGTTTAATACTTGCGGTCATTGACACAAGCATTTCTAGGGTTGCTTGGAGGAAATTTATCTATAAATTTTGGCTGAATCGCCAGTAAAAAGGTACAAACCTGGTATATATAGAAAAGCTTTACAACATATGCAAATTATTTAAGAGCAATAATAAAAATATCTTTTATTTTGATAGTCCTATATATAACAAGGCGAATTGTAGTTGTATCGAGAATGTAAGTCAAATCTATGTTAATTCGAATTTTTCTTATTTTATATTAAACACTTCATCATCATAAGGTCGTCAGTCCTAAGACTGGTTGGACACGCACCTCCACTCTTTCCTATCTTGTGCTAATCTTCGCATTTCCCTAAAACTAGAAAAAAAAACGTTTGGGTGTTTCATTTCCACCAGCCAGTAATGCTGGTGGGCGTTCAGTCCCTCCGGAATATGCCGGAAGGTAGGGCGGAAGGCCCTCTTCAGCCTGCTTTCAGGAATCGTGGGAATGGGTGGGTGATGGTTCGGGTGAGAAAGATGAGACGGACGAAATGAAGACAGAAGANTTTATCGTTTACTTTTAATGATACGTATTTAAAGCTGCATAAGAAATATAACATTAAAAGCTGGTAAAACATTAAAGATGTCTAATTCATTATCTGCAAAACATATCGTAGGGCGTTTGGTTGAACCAATATGATAAGAATATATGCTAAAATGCAATAGAAGTATACCAAGAAAATCTAACAGAATAAACCTAATATATAACAAAAGAAAATAACAAAGATTATCTTATCCAGCAATCTAGTACCTACTATGAGATCTAATTATCTAAAAATACATTTTAGAAGCAATAAAAATTATGTTGATATACACGTTGTTCAGAAATTAACTCTCGAAAAATGCTAATAAGGAGATAACCGGAGAGCGCAAAAGGAAAAGATTTGGTTTTAGTTGACCAGGTGGAATAGGTCCGTGATTTTGTAGTACTTTTTTAATGAAAACTCTGAACTCTCCAGATGATAAAAGCTTTTTATTTTTATTCTTGTGGCGACTACAAAGAGCTTTTCTTTGTAAAATTATCTGGATAGTGCATCCAGACATTTACTGATATGAAGTTTTGGATAAACTATTCATATAAAAGCTGTTTATAGTCGTTGTAATTGTTAAATGTACAATTACGTAAAAAAAGCCCCTAAATTAGAAGGCGAAACGTTGACAGTTGTAGAATAAAAAGATTTTATCACCTAGAATGTTAAGAGTTTTTATTAATAAATTGTCTCTTTTATTTTGACATAGGACGTTGTGGATAAAGTAAAAAGTATATCCGACGTGGGATCAACATATGTACAATGAAATTAAATTATAAAAAGTTCAGAATTTTTATCGGTCGTGATTTTATATTGCTACTTGGTACAAAGTTTGCTGAAACAAAGATAACCTCATCGCATTATTTTAACATCTAACATATCAAGGCAGGAGCATTAAAGAAACTCCAGTCTGTCATAAATCTCCCTAACCAAACAATTATGTCACTTATAGATACATAAGTACCATTTCCAATTACTTTTTAGGAAATTATAGATTTCCCAGGAAATGTGTCTAATATAATTTATTTTACACATTTCTGAGAGATTTAAGAAATTATCTACATGTCCTAGGAATTGTATCCAATGACGAATTTCAGACATTTCCGGTAACATATATAAGTTGTTCATTGAAGATCGTTTTAACCGTTTAGTGGCGATTTCAATCCTATGGAAAATGAAGTAACGACCCACAATTATCATTCTTACGTAATTCTTGTTGAATTTTTCGAATAATGAATATTAGACAAATACTCACTAATGGTTGACAACGAACTGTTCTTTGTAGAAAATACATTACTTCATGTCTTCTGAGATTTAAAAAAGCTGTAGGTATATACAATACATATATCCATGTACTATTACGTATCTACAGACATGCACATGATAATCAATACATTGATCTCGGTGGCTCATGACTCATGAGTATGCCATGCCTGCAGGAAGGGACCGGTAGATGGTCGGTGATCCTTGTACTAGACGCCGGGGGTAATAAATCATACACTGAGTGGCATACATTTACCGCATAACAATAGCAGTTCTAGAATTCTCGAGAAGAATGAAAACTCTTTCGGAAAATTCGACGATAATATAAATAGGCCTCTGGATAACATATGGAGTTGGAATAAGTGCAGCTAATCAGTGATGTAATAAACATCACGAAGACAAAGCGATGTAAATACAGTTACGAATAAATAAGCATTAATAGTACAGTGTGATATAAAACAGATGTATAATTTAAGCGTCAACTTGAAGTTATGGTGTAAATAAATAATCATAATGTAAATATCCGTTAAATAAATAAACTTAATACTAGAAAAACCATTACATTATGAATAACTAAAGAATTTAAGCAGACGTTTTTCTATTTTGTAAAATAGCTACCGTAACAAAGGCTTCGGTATTTTCTCGTTACAGTCATATTCTGTAATGCATATTTTAAAGAATTTACTACACGACTAATTAATACTGAATGTTGAACTTAAACAATACGAGCATGTGCAACAACAGATGCAATCCATTCATTAAGGAAACGCCCTCGCCACTAAAGAACAACGGATCAAAAACTGAAAGCATTCGTGCATGCAGCTCTGGTCGGGCAATACGATAAAAAGTTCGGTGTGCTTTCGCAGTATAAAATTGACGTAGATCACGATTGCAACTGCACTTACATCAAAACAACATTTACTCGAAGAACATTCTTCAAGTCATTTAATATCGTAAATTTCTTATATTTTGAGTTCAATGTTATAAAGTACACTTGCAAATAGCATATTATTTAAGAGTAATCCTTCGCCTATACAGAGATCGATAAGATTATTGATTAATAATAAACTAAATACTAAAGCGATAAGCTGTCACAAATCCCAGTTGTGTGGTTCCTCTAAGATACTCGGAAGAATGAAGATGAACCAATTAACGATAAAAGAAATATGTAGATGATAAAGAGGTTTACGCAAGGAGATATCAAAATTATGGGTATATGGGAGCAGAGTTAGTGAAAAGCAAAAGAAAAGCAACCTCTTGAGGTTATTAATTTCAATAAATTGCAGTTTGTAATAGCTAGTTTACACCTCTCTTTTAAAGCATTGTATGTTTCTGTATATTACTCCTGTCTGCAACTTTTCTCTATTAATATCCTTCAAACTCCAACGAATCTTAACCGGACAACCCTGGACATTGAAATATTTAGTGGATTAGTCTCTGTTTGACTTGAAATTAGTTGTTAAACCATGACAGAATATGCATTCACTCAACTTCCGTCTGTAGAGGAAGGATTACTCCAATCAACTGTGTGAAATGTTTTAGGCATCTTTGCTTTTTACATTCAGTACAACCCTCGACCTACTAAGCATCTTTGTTTCATCAACTGTGCAGGTTTGAATTTTTTCTGATCCCTCTTCCGTAATGATCGAGCTTAACTGATCACACATTTCATGCATCCTCGTTATTTGTCGTACTTTGTCGATTAAACATGTAAAGTGTGCATTCACGTTTCTGTAAAGACGTTTAAATTCGATTAAATAGTGCTGGAAGTGATCGTGT